TCCTCTGTGGCAGTGACATCCCCTAAGCCTCTGACACCCAACGTACCTATTTCCCTGTCCACTGCTTCTCCTCCTTCGGGCGCTTCTCTGCCCACCAGTAGCGCAGGCAGCTTGGTGACCGCTTCTTCTGAGCCAGGCCACACTCCAGCCAGGCCCTCGTCTGCTCCAAAGCCCAGCATCCTCCTTGGGATCCTCACCAGTCCTCTAGCCGACAAGCCCCCAGCTGCAACAATGCCATCTTCTTCTGCGCCCAGCACGGTGCCTGTTTTCAAACCAGTGTTTGGCAGCCCAGCAAAAAGTGAGAACTTTGGCTTCTCCACAAGTGGCACCACTGTGGTTTCTGACACTGCGCAATCTGTGCCTTCTTTGGCGCCTCCTGTTGCTCCCAGCGGCATGTTCAAGCCCATCTTTGGATCACTGTCCGCACCAGCAACTTCTGTCCTGCCTACAAACACTTCATCATCTCCCTTCACATTCAGCCAGGCCCCTCAGCCAGCAGCATCGTCTGGCCTTCCTGCCATCAATGCCTCGAGCAGTTTAGGGCTTCCCGTTCTCCCAGACGCCACTGTTACCACCTCGGTGTCACCCCCTGGAACAGCAAGCGTGACGTTTGTCTCCATGAGCAAACCTGTGTTCAGTTTTGGGCCAGGCATACCATCCTCTGCCACTTCCCCCAACAACAACAACAGCAGCGGCAGCAATAGCACTCCTGCCACTGTTGTCTCCACACTGGCATCACAGCCCTTGCTATTTGGGGCTGCACCCAGTGCCAGCACAGCTGCCATGCCCCTTTTCCAGTTTGGCAAGCAAGCTGCTCCTACAGGCGCCACTGTCAATCTCTTGGCACCCTCCAGCACCACTAACTCAGCTCCCACTATTACTGCCGCCACCGCCACCACAACCAATACTGGCTTCAGCATTTTTAGTGGCGGCGGCAGCAGCAGTTCCACACAGGCTTCTTCAGCCTCCTCAGCTACCACACAAGCTCCACTGACATTTGGATCTTGCACCTCTGCGTTCAGCAGTACCTTTGGGGCTGCCTCAAAACCACCCCCTCCATACCCTGCGGTTACAAGCCAGCTGGCTTTTGATTCAGGGGTGTCTGAGGGCCAGCAGGGAACTCTCAAGCCTCCTGCAGCAGGACCCCTGCTGAACTTTGGGACTCCTTTCAGCTTCACTGGCTCAGTAGCCCAACCTGCAGCCCAGCCAGCCTTTGGTAGCTCTACACAGACCCCTTTTGGAGGGTCATCTTTTGGCGCCAAAAGTACTTCCCAGCCAGCATTTGGAGTTGCATCGTCCATGTTTCCATTTGGGACAGCTACCGCATCCAGCACTCAGACTACAAGCAGCAGCACAGGAAGCTCTGTGTTTGGAAGTTCAGCCCCAGCTCCATTCACCTTTGGGGCATCGAATCCCCCAGGTGTAGCAGGCAGTGCTTTTGGCGTTGGCGCCAGTGCTACAGGCACAGGAGTGCCCACAGTTGGATTCAGTTTCGGCAGTGGGCAGAGCGGAGCTGCAGAGGGAGTGACACCCTTTGGAACTTCCTTGGCACCAAACCCTTTGGGTGCCCAGAACCAAAACTCTGCCTTTGCTTTCAGCACCCCAAATACACCTGAGAACAAGCTGGCATTTGGAGGTGAGTCCCCTTTGCTTGGCCTCTTGCTTGTTCGATATTCCTACTTATTTTTCAGGGGCGGATCGCTGGTTTTGTTTTATTTTGTATTTTGGCTATTCCTGTGGGCTGTTTTGATTCCTAGGATGGGGTCTAGAAGCCCTATCTTTATATTTGAAGCCGTTGGAAGTAAGTGAATTTGTATTTCTGCTCAGGAAACCACATGGGGATTTTTCAGTTCTGACTAGGTTCTGTTCCCATTCTGTCTTCTAAATCCAAGTCTCTTTTCCTTCGGCTCTGTTTGTTTCCCTGTGCTCACTACAACAAACATGGCTTCAAGTGCAAGTGATGAGACTTGAGCCCAATTTAGATGGCCATAGATTAGACCACGTTTGCATGTGAGGAAATGAATGAAAGGCAAGCGTTTCTGGGCCGACGATGCCTGTGTTCTTGGCTGATTTTGGGAGGAAAGTAAAGTGGAGGAGAGAGGAAAGAGCTGATAGACTCCTTTGGTGTTCTTGTATTGGGATAAAACAATCATCTTTTGTTCAAAACAGAGAAAGTAGTTCCTGTTGTTCATGTGCGCCTGACGATGTCAGGCAGGGATTGTGATCTTGTTTCTCCATAATGTGACTCCGTTCTCTAATAGACGCTTCGCTTTGCTACTATTTTGTGATTAGGGACTCCCACGCCTACATTTGGACAAAGTACGCCTACCCCAGGTGGCGGCACAGTAGGGAGTTGCAACGTTTCCTTTGGAACACCCATCACCCCCGCCGCCTTTGGAGGAATGACACCTGCTTTTGGTAAGGATTTGGGAGTTGACGGGGAGGGAGCCGTTCTATTACAAGGCAGTCTTGTCTTTTTGCACCATTTAGAAGGCCGGGATCAGACTGTTAAAGTTAAATCACTACAGAACAACTTTTTGGTTTGGTTTGGTTTGTAGATCGGGGATGAGGAGATGTAAAACAAAATGCATGATTATAAGGAACGGTTAACATAGTTCTACATCCAAAATTATTGTGGCAATATCGGCGATATTGCCAGACGTTGATGGCATATTCTTTGACAGAGGCCAGAGATTGAAAATCACTCACGAGGTGGCAACTTGGCAGGCTTTCCACGCCCAAACCACCTCTGTGAAAAGGCTGAAGGGAGACCTTTTGCTTTTCTGTCCCTCCAGGGCCAGCAACAGCTGCCTTCTCCATTGGAGCAGGATCCAAGACAGGAACTCGCCAACGGGTGCAGGCCCGGAGGCAGCACACTCGTAAAAAGTAACTGGGAGCAGCTTCCTGCCTGGACTTCAACTCCCAGTTGATCTGCTGACAGATCCTCCTAATACTGTACTACCCAAGGAAGACTTACCCAGCCGGACTGCCCTGGGAATCTCTTTTCTATAACAACCACAGGAAGCTATTCTGGATCAAAGAGTGATTTTTACCCCTTCAAATGGGATAGGAGAAACTTAAGCCCTTTTTACTTGAACAGTCTATGGCTGAGTCTGGATGAAAAATTTGTACATATCCTCTATTTTCCCCTTCTCCCTGTGGACCTCTCCCATTAACCTCCCCTTCTTTCTCGGCTCTTAACTTCATTCCTTTTGGACTGCTTGGTGAAGGGTGTAGGGTGTTGGAGAAAGTATTTGGCTCGCAGGCAGAGAAACATTTCTGATTGAAACCAACCGTTAGCTCCCTTCCTCAGTTTCTTCTCTCTTTGGAAGCCTTTTCCAGAGAATCTTTAGGGCTTCCTGATCCAAATTCACATCTAAACATAGTCCACACTAAGACCCCCCCTCTGTCCCATTGGGATAGCCACCCTGTCTTGCCAAAGCTTTTTGGCTTCGTGTGGTTTTAGCTGTGAGTTGGGAGGTAAATTGTTAGCTGTGGCTGCAGAGCCTAACAGCAGAGGTGTGGTTGAATAGCAACATGAAATGGAGAAGCATCTTGGTGTCAGAGGCCGGGTGGGGGTGTGTGTGGATCTCCCTCGCTGGTCTGCTTCTTCCATGACCATTTGGTGAGGAAGACAGTGCCATTCACCCCTACAGCTTTTCATTTAAGCAGCCTTTCCTTTCCCTCTGCCCTCCTCCTCTCCTCTTCAAATGTCTGTGTTTTGCTCACAGTATGTTTGTGTTCTTTTTTTATTGCTCTGTGAATTGAGTTTGGAGGAAGAATTGAATTGTATGTGTGGCGGCATGTTGGTAATGCCGGACTTGTAAACATTTTCAGGGTACCTGTCTCCAACGGAGACGAACCCTGCCTAATTGGGTGCGGACAGTCACTGCATGGCTACATGTGCTGAATGAAGTGCGAAGACTGCAATTTGGAAAGAGGAAGACATACCTCCCTGATGTTTGGTGGCTCCAGGACCTTGTGAAAAGCTCTCGATCTGTGCTGGGCCTTGGAATAGGGAGGGAAAGCGTTTCTACGCTGGAAGAGTAAAACCATAAGCCCTGTGGGGCTCTGACTGAAATCCGATTTTTTTTTTCCAACTTAAAAGAGCTTGAGTCACAGCAGTCAGCCATTGCGGGTAGACAAGCAGCTTGGCAACAAAAACGGTTCTCCTCAGCCAGTTTGGTTCTTGGAAGTCAGGCCAGCTGCCAGTGGTGTGAATGTGTGCGTGAGCCTGCCTAATTCTAAATTTAAAAAAAAAAAAATATTTAAACATTTTTTAACAAAGTGAAACTTTATTTTTATATTTAAGCTAAATTGCCTTTAAATTCCTTCAAGCTTGGTTCATAGAGGTGTGAAAGTACAAAGTTGTTCATTAGCAATTTGCCTGTGCTGTTACGAGACAACAGGGCTTATAGGGAAGTGGGGGAAAACACCTGCTTTCTTGCCACCACCCCCTCGGGCTTCACAGGTCAGTGTTTCATGTGTTTGTTGAATAATGTGAGTGTGGCTTAGTCTGTTCCATAATGCTTGAGAGCTCTTGCACGTTTTTAAGTGGGGCTGGGAAAGTGAATCTGGGTCAGCGCTTGTCATGTGGAGGCAAGGCAGACGTGTAGCTTGTACAAAGAACGGCCACTTCAGTGATTGCTTGGGACAGAGACTAACTTTGCTGGGGAAAAGGGCCACCTTCAAGAATCCCATCCATTATTTAATATATTAGTTAATATTGACCAATTAACTAATATTCCTAGTAATAACGGCTCTTATTTCATCTTTCCACATACGGCAGTGGAAGAAGGGGTGGGTGGTTAGTCCTCCGCCAGCAACATGGGGAGGCATTTTCTTAGTGCCCCCAAGCCTGCAATGAACCAGTCGTTTCTCCAGCCGGGAAGCAGCTGTCCCACCCTATACAGGTAGAGCAGCTTTTGTTACCAAGATATTGCTGTGTGTGAATGAAATGAAGTAAGTAAAAATAAAAAGAATGGGCTGGCTTTTTAAAAAAAGTTGCAATGGAGACTTGGATCATTCCTGTCAAGGGTTTTAGTGTGACTGTGCAATTTCTTTTCCTTGCTTATGTTGATTTAAAATAAAACTGCTTGAGCCAGAATGTTTTTTACTGTTTTTTTGGCCAGATAGCCTCCTGGAGTGGCTTGACAGATCAATAAAAGATGCTAGTCTCTGTTCCAGTGGTTTTCACTTTCCTTTCATACCTTTTTCCTACAAACATTGAAAAGGGTCGTCTTCCCACAGGATAGGGGTGAACTTTCCAACTCAATTTCTCTCAAGACCTCCATACAGGTGGTCTTCCCCACCCCACCCCATTACACCTGGTTCCAAATTCCGGTGGCTTCCCCAAGCCCCAGAGTCATGACTGCATTTTGGGTGCTCAGCAGCTGCCCCACATTTATGGGTATTGGAGTATCCTGTGGTCACATGACCTTGGTTTACAATGTTTTTGCCAAAGCCCGGTTTTTCTACCAAGTTCCCATTTCACTACATCCACACTGACTAACTGAAAAGTTGACTTTTATTTCCATCCAAGGTCTTTCCCTTGCAAAGTCCATTGATAAAGACCAGGAAGCTTCTGAAGAATTTCACTTATTTGGAAAAGCCATCTGTTTCTTCTTTTTTCGTTTCCTGGTTGCTGGATTGGGATTTGTTTCTAATTTACTGCCAGCCTCTGAAAGCAGCATTGCAGAACTATAAGCAAAACCACAAAGAACAGAAAGCTTTTTCCTACATATCAAGATGCAATTATGACACAAATATCTGAAACGTATGTTAAGACTAATTCAAAGTGCAAAACCATCAAACAAAATAATAAAACTCTATAGAGATAAAAATTATGCATAGAGTAGATTAACATTAGGAGAGTCTGTGGCCATGTGAAGAGATGATGTTAAATTAGTAATCACCAAGGATTCTCCCATGACTGGGAAGACGGGCAATAGCATTTAGTGCTTTACAGCCCTCTCTAAGCAGTTTACAGAGCCAGCCTATCGCCCCCAACAGTCTGGCTCCTCAGCCAGATGGATGTTGGTTTCCTATTTCTAGAAATAAAATCTGTTCCATAATGCTTGAGAGCATTTGAGTATCTTGTATTATATGGAAATTACTGTTTCTTGCTAACAAGATGTGCTTTGACAGAACCACCTCTGCACCTGAAAAAAACTCAAATTTCTTTGTGTGCTATGCCTATTGTCTGGTTCAGGGCTGACCCATTCAAGATTGGCACAAGGCTTATTGGGCCCCATAATGCAGGTTTGTAAACAGATAAATTGAAGCTTATCTCAATTGTGAAAAGTAGGATCCCGTTGCCAGGGTTGAGGGCAGAGAGCCACAAACCTCATAGGTTTGGCCTCTAGAATCTTTATAAGATTTTCCGAAAGGTGGGGAATCATCCTTTTTTTTAATAACACTGAAGTGACTTCCGGTTTGTAAGGCTTCGGTGGCGGCAGGAATCCGCGATCGTGCGCGGTTTCTGCTGCGCTCGCCACTGGAGTGCCCCGATCCAGTCGGATTTGGGGGTTATAGTTACCCCGTAGAGGTAACTGAAGACAGGGGAGATCCGGCAGGGTTCCGGGGGGGATCGCAACCCCCTCCTCAGCTGGCTAAACTCCCTTTTCCGAAAGCGGTGGAGCGGCGGTCAGCAATGACCGTAGTATAGAGCATAAAGAACATGTATGGAGTATTTATGCTATACAGTATACAGGTAGTCCTTAACTTACAACCACAATTGAGCCCAAAATTTCTGTTGTTAAGTGAGTTGTGCCTGATTTTGCAACTTCTGCCACAGTTGTAAAACGAATCAGCAATTCTTAAGTGAATCATGCTAAGCGAACCTGGCTTCCCCCATTGACTTTGCTTGTCGGAAGCCAATTGGGAAGATTACAAATGGTGATCACATGACCCCAGGACAGTGCAACTGTCATATATACATGCCAGTTGCTAAGCACCCAAATTTTGATCACATGACCATGGGGATGCTCAATAGTCGTTAAAAGTGTGAAAACTGGTCCTAAGTCGCTTTTTTCCATGCTGTTAACTTCAGTCACTAAACAAATAGTTGTAAGTCAAGGACTACCTGTAGAGAGCACACAGAGAGCATTCTTTCACCTTGCTGCACATGCTTTGTGCTTCCTTTCCAACACTGCTACAAAGAATCCATTGGTCAGTGTTTCTTCTGGTGATGCTCGGAGAAAGCACTTCGCTTCAGGGAAAACAGGTAAGCCACGAGGGGTCCAGGATGGCAGCACTTCTACCAGTCTCCAAGGAAGAAAAGCAGAGAAGTACTTTAAGAAATCAGTGTTTCCCTTTCTACTCTGCTGCCTTACTATCTTACAGTCGTATTCGGGAAGCAAATTTCCCTCTTTCAAAATCTTCTGATCAGCAGCACGGCAGCATCTAACACCCTGGCTGATCGCCAAAAGCTAAGCAGAGTCAGATCTTGTTATTACCAGGAAGTACCAGGTAGCCTCTAGACTAGGAAATCAAACACCCATCCTAGAAAATGGCCATAGCAAACCACTGCTATGCTGTTGCCAAGGAACCTACATGGAATATCCCCAAAGTCACCAAGAATTGTGTTTAACTAAGAAGCTTTAGTTCCTAATGGCTATGAAATGGAAAAATGTCATTCCCGTCCCCAACGGGCCCAACCCTAAAATAGGTAAGAGATTGCTGCTTTCAAATGTATTTGTCATGAGCTGCTAACAAGATGAAAACACTGGAGAAATCCAGTTAGTTTGATCATGTTTGGGAACACGAGAGAACTGTAGATCTACACTCCAGGAAGGAATCAAGTATGAGGAGGATGAGCTATATTAATTGCCAAGAGACTTCTAGCTTTATACAGCCCTTTCCACCAGCAATCCTTAAACAGCAGCAAGGAAGACGTCTAATGGAGATTTTCAGTCATCCAGGTCATGGTTGTCCCGAAGGTGCTTTTTCAAGAAGCAACTGGGCTATCATGTTCTTCTTTGAAGACATTTTGCTTCTCGTCCAAGAAGCAGAGCTGAAGAAGCTTTTTGGATGAGAAGCGAAACGCCTTCAAAGAAAAACAAGGAAATCCAGTTGCCTCTTGAAAAAACACCTTTGGGACTAGCAAGGAAGAACCATCCCACTTTGCAGCCCAAGCTCTACCAGCTCCAGGAAGGCAGGCCCTGATTTATCCACCTTCTTATACCTGAAGGCGCTTCCCTCCTGCTCCAACACATCCTGCACCACATCTTCATTCTCCTCTTGGTGCACCGAGCATGTGGAATAAACCAGCCGTTGAAGGGCAGGGAACTGCAATGCATGTGCCAGCATTTTTCGCTGGAACCCAGCAAGTGCCTGCAGTCGCTTAGGCGGGGAGGTGCTTTCCACCTCTGCCAGGCGATTGACCATACCTGCAACAGAAACAGACATCCCAAGCATCAGTAGCTGTTGAAATCTGGCCTCCAGGGAAGCATAAATAAATGCCCCTCCTCCTAAAAACTATTTCCAACTGTTCTAATTAGCTGTCAGCTTCCCATCTTGGATAAAAAGATTGTAATAAGATTGTATTTTAATGTAAGTCCAAGCTGGAAATCCACCTCCAACCTTTATTCACCTGAGCCGCTGCATGAAGGATCCAGGAGAATGTATCTCACTTTGCTGTACTTGGAGTCAGTGGGATCTGTTGCTAAGAAGTCTTGATGTGCCAGCTGATGGCAGGTGACCCCTGCTCGTACCAACATAGTGCTCATGGTGGCCAGCCGCTTGGCATCGAGATCAAAGGCAAAGATCTGCCTGCATTTCAAGAAACAGAAGGAACTTTTTTTTTTATAAAAGTTTTATTGATTTTAACAACAAATAAAAACACATAAAACATAAAACATAACATAAGAACATCGTCATTCTTCATAAACAGAAGGAACTTTTGAGGGGCCATGGACACATGGGCATAAGATCAGATACCTCTGCAGGAGAGAAAGGTGAAAAACAATAACTTCACCACAAGCAGTTCTTCCTCTCCAAGATAAGTTACCCGAAGCTTATTCATCTGCAGAGCATTCTAAAGAACAGATTTGAGAAGACAGGATCTATTCTCTCTAACCTGGCTTCTTGGAATTTTTGCTTTCTAATTGGAAGAATCAAATAAGATCTGCCTCATCCTGAGATCCTGGAAGCTTATTACATCAAAGTTTATCCCTCTGTCTGGAGGGTATCCAGGGATTATATTACAAAAGCTCATGGTTCCTTTTTTCATTAAACTGCTGGAAATACTCAACTAGCTGGGTCCACATACAGTATAAATCCACAATCTGCAATGACCACATTCATGCAACACACTAAGTCAATTAAAAACAAACAAAATTCGTATTACATTTTAGAATGACTTGTATGAATCCAACTATAGTCATAAGCCCCTCTTGATTACAAAAGTAAACTTTCTAGAAATGTTGAGGACATGGTAAAAAAAAAAAAATAGAAGAAAATGTTAAATTTAAACAACAGAAACTTTCTTAGCAAACCCAGACTTAACTTAATGCTCTTTAATATGTCATTTATAAACAAGTAAAATGTTATGTGTTATTTGGTACATTTTTAAAACCTCCAGCAAAATCCAGTGATTTTCTCAGATGAGTACAAATGTATGAATATTACAAAACAAGCGTTTCATCAAATAGTTTAAGAGGCAGGTAAGGCAGATAATTTTGCAAAGAATTCCTTGTTTTGCATAACTATGATTATTTACATGAATTAAACTGTGATCATAGCCTTTACTATGCAAACAACTGCAAATTGTAGAGCTACTTATTTAGACAAGCAGTTATCTCAGGGTTTCTCACCTAAATCCAAAAAAATAAATTGCAAATGGAAATTGCAAATTTGGGAGTAAACAAAAAATATTGTCATATTTATGACAGTGTGCCTTGATTTCTATAAAAAATCACTAGCATATTTTAGATAATAATTTAAACTTTAACATACTGGAAACTGTTGAATATTATTTAGATAATTTAGAGAACTATTATTTTTCTAGTAGTAGAAATTGCTTTATCTTTAATGTAAAAATCTAAATTATGCATTTGGAGTACATTAAACTTTGCCTTGGAAAATTCCCATTATTCCAAAAGAGAGTATGGAAGGAGAAAGGTTGCAGAACTGAGAGCCGCTGGAAGAAGAAAGCAGATCCTAAGCAGCTAAGAAATGTAGAAAAGAGCTTTGAAATTGTCCTTTCTCATACCAGTCAACCACAAATGTTTCTTTTGTTAAAAAAAAAAAAATCAACCTGCAACTGGGATGAAATTTAGGTAACTGTAGCAAGGAGATTCGCAGAAGGAATATATTGCCAAAGGTGGGGGTGGGGGGCTGATTTGAGGCTGCATAAATTCTTCACCTCTGCTTCCAGGAGGAGGAAACTAAGGAGACTGACTGGAGCAAAAGATTTGTAAGGAAGATGGAGAGACAGATACATAACGTTAAGCAGCACCAGAGGGAGGAACCTTCAGTTCACCAATCAGACCTGCAAAATTGACCAGAGACGGGGAATTTTTATTTTTATTTGTGGGGGGGGGGGGAGGCTTGCTAGCACCATGCAAACCTAGAGAATAGATGGTCCCAAAATCTATTCCAGATCTTTCTGGGAGCCCAATGCAAATGCTACTTTGGCTACATTATCCTTATCACCGGGATCTTTGTGTTATGCTGTGAACTGCCACAGAGGATTCTATAGCTCAGAATGCTGCCTAAAATACCCTGTTTCTCCAACAATACGGCCTCCCCCAATAGGAAGTCCCAGCATGTTTTATAGGCATGATATGAAATTAAGCCCCTCCCCCCAAATTAAGGCCTATATTAAAACATGCGAAATGGGGGGGTGGGGGGGGCTTGCCGTTAGGAAGTACTTTTGTTGCACACCCAGATGTGATGCTGCCTGCGTTGACCCCAATATGAAGTGCTCCATCAACGCCGAGGTCAACATCCAAGCTGTTGCCGCCCACCCACCCGAAGATGCAGGGGGGGCATTAAGTCACCCCTGAAAAGACGACCTAGCCATTTTTTCGGGGCTCAAAAAAAAATAAGACCCGGCCTTATTATATGAGAAACACGGTATTTCCATAAATAAATGGTATCGCCCTTCCGTCCTCTTACCCTTTGTTCTTCATGATGGCAGCCAGCTGGCTGGTTTTGTTGCCAGGAGCAGCACAGGCATCAATTACCTGGGACCCTGGAGTGGGGTTCAGGACAAAGGCAGGGAGGCAGCTGGCCTAGGGTTAAAACACACGCACCTGAGATAAACGCACACTTATCCACATATGGCAGGCCCGTCACCCTCTTTCCATATTCCCCAGCCTCAATAGCAGCTTCTCAAACATACTGTCAAGAAACATTTGACGCCCATTGCATTCATGCCTCTGTGTGTGTGTGTGTGTGTGTGTGTGTGTGTGCATATATATGCATGTGCATGTCTCTGTCTCTCTGTCTCTCTCTCTCTCTGTCTCTCTCTCTCTCTCAAACAGCCTATTAAGCTTAAGCTGACATTTCTGTATTTCACCTGGAGAACTTATCACAAAATTAAAAGTGATAAGTTATTGCAAGATAGCAATAGCACTTAGGCTATATATCGCTTCACAGTGCTTTACAGCCTTCCCTAAACGGTTTACAGAGTCAGCATACGGCGGCATATCTGGGTCCTCATTTTACTGACCTCAGAAGGCCTGGAGAGCCTAGTGAGATTTGAACTGCCAAGATAAAATAGGAACTTCAAAACCATAGCATAAAGCCTAAATGCCTGAAACCAGCCAGAAGCTGCCCTTGGAAGGAAGAGGGAGGCCATCGGAAGAGTCTGACTGTGTTTGGGCAACTTCATCAAGCCAGGTCAGCTGCCAGCTAAGCAGATCCACCAGCCCTTCCCTCGGGCCACTGTGTCCTGTCCCAGCCTCACTCACCTTGTCCTGGAGAATGATGTGCCCAGCCTGATAGAGCTGGTTCTCATGAAGATCTGTCTGAGGAGGGAAGATCAGCAGATTGGGAAGATGGAAGTCCAGCAGGAATTTCTTCCTGGATAAGATCGCTTCCTCCATACTGAAAATGATCGTAATAAAGATGGAAAGCTGTTGCTTCTTCCCCAAGCTAAAAAAAAAACAACCCTCTCTCCTACCAGATATGGAGAGCCAGAAAACAGAGCTCTCTGAATGCAAGCAGCCTGGCACAAATAAGCCTGTCGGTCAATGAAGAAAGTGTCTATCGAGTAAGTGTGGAGAAATTTCAAGGGCTTCCTGCTCTGCAGCAGGAAAGCAGGATCAGAGATAAAATAGCCACCAAAAGTTGCTTCAAGAAATGGCTTATAGGAGGGGGGAGAGAGATTTGGATAAATTGATGCAGAATTACAAGCATGAATGTACTTGGTCTACTTTTGTATTATGAGAATGAAACTATCTCCACCCCAGACCCCAAATCAGGGGTCTTCAACCTTGACAGCTTTAAGACTTGTGGACTTTAACTCCCAGAATTCCTCCTCCAGTCATTTTAGCTAAGGAATTCTGGGAGTTGAAGTCCACAAGTCTTAAACTTGCCAAGTGTGAAGACCCTTGTCCCAAATCCTTCTTCCTCTTTCAATCTGGCCCAAAAGGGAGTAAGGGTGCCAACTGCAGCATCTTATGTTACCCTTACTGGGATAAACTCAGCTTAACTATAGCTAGTGAGCACAAGCTAGTTTTAAATAAACTTAAATCTCATTGTCCCAAAGGTGCATTTTCAAGAGGCCACTGGACTTTCTTGGTTTTTTTTGAAGACATTTCACTTCTCATCCAAGAAGCTTCTCAGCTCTTGAAATATCTTCAAAGTGAAATGTCTTCAAAGAAAACCAAGAAAGTCCAGTGGCCTCTCGAAAACGCACCTTTGGGACAACTATGACACCTAGATGACTGACAATCTCCATAGACAGTAAATCTTCTTCAAACCAAGTTTGCCTTGATTATTACACAGGCATGTCTATGTTGTCTCCTTGACAATGGTCTGACAGTGGATGTGCCACTGCCTACTTCTGGGTTATTTCTCAAAATCCCTCTAGTTTAAAGTCCTCGCATTTCCTGGCTGTATGTCTCATCCATTGTAAACCGAGTTGGACTCCACTTAAGTTTTTTTAGGATAAACTGCAGATATGCCAGAATGAAAATGGATGCTTTCAGTTTCTTCCTTGTGGCTATACGTGACAGGAGGGACAGTGAGCAATTGCAGATTCCTGAAAAGTTTGCAACACTACAGTCTGCAGACAGAGAGCCTACCTGTTCCTGAGATATGGAGCCGGGGTTGAAGAAGACTAAACTAACCTGGCTGCTTTGCCCTGGTAAGAGTAGCCCTGGCGTTTGAAGTAATCAACAACATCATCCACACAGGTCTTCAATAAATTCACTCGGACATAGCGCGGCATCTTAAGTGCTGGAAAACAAAGAGACAGGGATCTTCTGAAATCAAGTTTCTGGATTTTCCATAATGTCTAACTGCTTTGTCTTTTGTATCCATTTTGATCCAGCAAGAACATCATCTCACATAGCTAAAGATTGTAGCCAGATTGGAAGAAAACTGTCTAGAGGCACTGCCCTCCTTCACACATTACATTTGTTTGTTTGATCACGGCCTGAGTTAGGTCCAGTTCTTTGGATTCAGTCAGCAAAGTAAGTCATAAATCGTATTTTATGAACCATAATGGCTGATTCACACAACACATGAAGCCAAACCAAATACATCTCATTATGATTTAACATAATACGCAAATCCAACTTTGGCTGGCTGACTAGCTATCCTTAGTTTCATACACAGAGCATTAAAGCCTGCACAATTGCTGCCAAGAGACACATTTGACCAAACACTTTGGACAGGCTTTCCAAAAGCTGCAAAGTTTTTATTCCTATTTTTTCAGTTGCAGCTGATGTAACACTGCCGTCTATTTAAATTCGACCCTCTGACCTCTTCCACAAACTCCAAGCATCTACCTTTGCCAGATCCTCCAGCTGGTGGCAGAAGATCTTCATTGCGGCTCACTTTTTTCTGGACCTTCAAGCGGGCAAGCTCAGCCTGGAGACGCGCATGATGCTTCAATACCAGGGCCTTCCCACGTCCTCCACCACGAAGCCCCTTGCCAATGAGTAAGTCATATACCAGCACCTAAGAAAGGAAAGCAGCAGGAGAAAAGAGCTGGGATCTGAAGCCAAGATTGGAACTTCTTACTCTACATCCAGCTGCACTGGACTGAGGAGGTGTCAGCTGTAGTGATTTGGGGGGAGGGAGCTTTTTAAGAAGATATATAGGCCACATCTGGACGGCATCAGCAAGGAAGTAAGAACAAGTCTTCAGTAAGACATGTCAGTAAAACAGAATGAAAGAAGGAACCTTCATAGAAGGCACTGAAAGGCACATCTAACATTGTTATAACATAAATATATTTTATAACTAATAAATGTTAAATGGTACTTTTTCTCCACAAGCTCAAGACATATTATATGGGCATTTATCTTGAATAAAAACATTGAATTATCTGTATTCTCAAATTACAAGATAAGCTGAGAAAATAAGGATGGGCCCAATGACTTTCAATGGCTGAGGCAAGACCTGAAGTTGCGTATTCTAAATCCTAATCCAACACTTTTTACCACTATACTGCACTGATTATTCTACCCATTGCAATGATTTCCTAGTAATATGAACAACACATTAAAAAAACAGACTAATGAATTTGGGTTACAGGAATCCCTACAAATCCCTGAAAAATGCTTGGGGGAAGGGAAGGGAGGGGAAGGGGAGGGAAGGGAAAGGAAAGGAAAGGAAAAGGAAAAGAAAAGGAAAGGAAAAGGAAAAGGAAAAGGAAAAGAATAGATTACAGAATAATAAAGTTGGAAGGGACCCCGAGGGTCTTCCTTTCCAACCCCCTGCTCAAACAGGAGACCCTATACCATTCCAGACAATGGCTATCCAATGTCTTCTTTAAAATAGATGGAGTACCTACAACTAGAGGCAAGAGACAATCGCGAAAGAGGAAAAAAACGAATAGCTGACATTGCATGCTTTTCCTACATTCCACCCCATTCATATTGTTGGGTTTTCCCTTCTCTCATTGTTCCGCTCTCCCATTTCCAAAGACCTTATCAGGTACCAGAAAAGGGGCCTGCTGTTGCGGATTCCCCCAAATCTGTCCACATGAGCAGCCCGGGGTTGAAGTCACCTATAAGCCACTGATTGTGCATTTCCAAGCACAGTGGTCCCTGCAGTTACCAAATGCAAAACAACTCCAGGTAATCTAGACTGTATGAAAAATGGCTTCAACATTCCCACAAGGAATGGTCACACCTGTTCACCTTGGCCAGATGTGGCTGCAGCTTTTTTTCAGCACGGAACAAACCAGCAGCATCTATGATGGAATCCAGTACAGAAGAATAGCGATGTGTTTCTGAAACAAGGGCGTAGAGCAACCGTGCACTCTGCAAAGGGAAGGAATGTTGTTGATGGAATCAGAAGAATCTATAACGATACTAAGCAAACAATGCCAACAAATCTGGAAGACCATACAGTGGACAACATATTGGAAGGGGCCAGTTTACCTACCAAAACTAAAAAAAGGAAACTGAACAGTTTGTGGAAATGATCGCACAGTATCCTTAGTTTCACGTGCTAACAAAATAAACTGTAAAACTATGGAATGTCCTTAGCAAAATGGGACTCCCAAAACACTGGGAAAGCCACAGTCCAGATGGAACATAGCAGAAAAGACTGGCTCCAGGTCAGTAAAGGAGTGAGACAAGGTTAGTTATTTATTCATCCTAAAACAGGGGTCGCCAACCTTTTGGACCTCAGGGACCACCAAACTCATAATTTTTGATCCCAGGGACCATTAACCGGTTCTGTGGGCGTGTCCTAATTTGTGGGTGTGGCTTGGTGGTCATGTGACTGGCTGGGCATGGCTTGTATGTAAATATTATAAATATTTATATAAATATTGAATTTTTTATATAAAAAAGAGCAACTTTTACCCAAAATCAGGCAAAGCAGGCAGGCAAATTGAGTTGCTCACAGAATCACAGATTCATTCAGAGATCTATCTATCTGCCATTGGCTAGCTCAGTCTGTCACATAAAATTTTCTTGCAAGCAAACTAATAAAATTTACTAGCAAGCAAACTCACAAAATTAACTCACAACACACCATGTATGTAAATATTGATTTTTTTTTTATAAAAAAAGGCAATTTTTACCCAAAATCAGGCAAAGCAGGCAGATTGAGTTGCTCACAGAATCCCTTCAGTGATCTATCTATCTGCCATCAGCTAGCTCAGTCTCTCAAATTTTCTTGCTGTGAGTCTGCACTGAATTTGCCTGCAAGCAAACCTTCAGTCCTAAGGGAAGCAGAGCCGAAGATCTAAAGACTAGCTAGAAAGCAAGAAATCCAACCATTTCCTGCTTCCTAGCTAATCTGAATCTCCCGGCATAGCAAAGCAGATGATGGTCGGAAAAAGGAAAAATAGCAATTTTAGCAGGCAAGTTTGCCGGGTAAGGAGTGAGTGAGCGGGGAGCATTCCTACAGGTGCAGCCTTGTGTTTCTGTGCTGCCTGGATTAATTGCTTTGGGGGGTGGGTGCTCTGGGGGTGAAATTTCTCTGTGGCCCACCAAAATTGTCTCTAGGCCCATGGCCCACCGGTTGACGACCGCTGTTCTAAAAAACTCTTTGTCAATAAGTACAGCAACCAGACCCAGAGTTGGCATTTAAAATACTCAGTTGGTAGACAGTTCTGCTTTTTAGGACCAACCAATAGTAAAGGAACAAGCCAGTCAAGAAATGTACCACAAACTAGGACTTGGTATAGTAGCCATGAGCACCTTAAAATGATATTCAGATGCTGTGATTTGTCAAAATCTAGAAAGATCAGAATTGTGCAAGTGAAAGTTGGACTTTAAAGAAGCAGGACAGAAAGAATTTTGGTGCTGGACAGAATTCTGGAGAATACCATGGATAGCCAGGAAAAAAATAATGCATAATTGAACAAGTCAACCCAGAATTCTCACTTGAGGCGCAGGCTCATATTATATTTTGGACACATTATGCTAATTCCTAGCTGTTTTGAGAAGAAGAAGCCTATTAAGACACAAATTATGGACTCAATTGTAGTGTTGATGCATACACAATTAGAAGACCTGAAGACCAGATTGGATCATCTATCTGGCTCTTCAGAGTCCCTATTAACTGGCATATATTAAATCACATGAAATTGTGAATGGTTTTCTTTTAAAACAAGGGTTCAATTTGTGCAATGTTTTTAATCAAAAAACTGCCATACTTCAGCCTGCAAGTGCTATACATAGTAAATATTTTATTCATAGTATTGTGCAAATTTGGGAAAATGGATTAATTCCAAAAACTATGGTTAAATGTGTTGTTTGTAAAAACACAGCAGCATCTGATCTTTTCTGTACTAAGGTTAAACAGGGCTGGACTGGTTTACATCTGGGAAGGGAGGCTACCAAGGAATTCCAGATTTGTATCCTGGAAGAGTTCAATGCAAGCCACAGCTGTACTGTGCCAAGAAACTGCATAACATTACCAAGTGCTGAGTTCGATTCGAGGATATTGTTAACCTAAACGCTAAGCGTATTACTGTATATCCACCGCATTTTTGCATCATCTCTTCTCGTTTTGAGCATAGGAATGACACATTTTAAATGACACTCAAAATATTCATTGAACTCCTTCAAAGGAAGCCCGCTTCCTTTAAAAAAAAACCCACAAGTACACACGAGAGTAACTGTCGCCTCTCAGTGTCTGTAGCTAGCAATAAAAAGATAGTCTATGCTGACACGTGGAGGGTCTATTTCCACCACCACCCTCCTATTATTTTTTTAACTCTTAAGTTATGCAAAGACCGTCAACTTGCCGGGAAGTGACTTCCATAGACGAGAGTCTTAAGGGAACCTTCCCGACGCTCCAGCTTTGCCAGGATAGAAGCAGCGACACCATAAAGACCAAACGTCCCGCCGTTTCCCTGCCTGCGCTGCCGCATCTTCCTCCGGTTGTATGGAATCCGGACTTCGGGAGCCTCCGGCGCGCACGCGTACAGCGAGGAAAATGAACTGCGCGTGCGTAAAGCAGGGGAGGCTTTCATAGAGCTATACTAGTTCCACAGCATCTACCATTCAAACTCGAGGAGTTTCGAGATCTTTTTGTTTGTTTCTCTCTGAGCTAAAGCAAAATGCCACGCACAGAAGTGAATGGGGAAATGCTCAGTTTTACTGCAGCCATCATTCTATGTACGTTAAAAAAAAAGGGTAAGCTTAAACCAGGGGTCCCCAAACTTGGCAACTGTAAGACTTGTAGACTTCAACTCCCAGAATTCCACAAGTCCACAAGTCTTAAAGTTGCCAAGTTTGGGGACCTCTGACTTAAACAAACACAATAGGTTCGAAGTTCTCTCACTTCTGTTGGCTGGAACTGGGGAATTCTGGGAGTTGAAGTCCAATGAGTCTTAACAGTTGCTAAGTTTGGAAGAAGAAAAAACCCACCCCCACCCTGATCTAAGGCTATCAGAACTGGTTACAAGAATCAAGCCCATAGATGGCACTAAAGACTTAGCATGTTCTCTTTTCTGTATGGCTTGATTCCCATCTGGTGGCCATCGGATGTTTGCATCTCAGATCTGGTCGCCCTCAGTGGGAATGCAATCATAAACATCGCTGATGATGTTACCTAGTTTGGGTAATGAAATGTCTGCAAAAAAAAAACAACCCAAACAAGATCAGCGAGAACCAAGGTCCCCTCATTTCAACCGTGAAATACAAGTATTCTCCTTTTTCAAAATATCAGTGTTGGGCTGTGTTGGAAGTTAAAACCCACCCCTCTCCTAGGAAAATGAAATATTTTAGGACACACTAAAAAGACGGAATATTTCCCCTAAAAAGAAAAGTAGAAACTCAGAGAGGCAGAAACTCAGCCCCCACCCCCCCACCTTTGCTATTGGACCATTATTCTGGCCTAGGCCAGTCTATTTTACATAACAAAGATCTATTCCAGCTAGAGCTACAATACAAATCTTTCCAAACAGCCTCCATTTTTCCAGTGTCTTTTTCCCCACTTGGAATTAAACCAGAGGGATATTTCTTCCAACTGCTGCAAGATCTTGACTGCATTCACAACTTATAATGGGAGGATATATTCAGACAACATTGCTACTCTACCTTACCCCAGAGCCAGGATGATGGAGCAGGAGTGGGTATCAGAGGGGTGTGTGTGATCGGGTCCAAATCCATCTTCAGACAAGGAAATTATCTGGAAGACTGATCAGTTTTTCTCTCTTGCATACAAAGTTGTGTGAGAAAATAGGCCAGGTTTAAATACAAAGTATGTCATCTTCAACAGCAGTAGAGATATAACTTGACTGTACTGTGGGGAGGGTCAGCTATAATCTATTATCTTTAATATTGTATTCTGATTTTTTGACATGCAGTGGTTGTTCAGACAACACACTCAAACAGGTTAGTTAAATACTTAGTGCCTTATTTTCACAATATATGAAGGTTTATTGGAAGAATTATCCCTCTGGGTTCAGTTCCAAGTGGGGAAAAAGACACTGGAAAAATGGAGGCTGTTTGGGAAGATGGTTTAATGGTGGACAGGATCACATGGCTTGGAGCTCCAGAGTAAAAAGGACGATCACATGCTTCAAGATGTTGGGTGAAGGAAAAGAAGGACTGATATGCTGAGAGTGCCTGGGTTTTATACCCTCTGTTGGGATTTGAATTTGAGCTTGTATTCTGATTGGTTGTCAGACTCCCAGGGGCAACTCTGTAGGCTGTCCTGAGTCCCAGGCTTGGTTGAGCATTGCTGGATGATGATGTAATGAAAGGGCTTTGGGCAATTCCTATTATAGCTCTACCTGGAGTAGATCTTTGTTATGTAAAATAGACTGGACTAGGCCAGAGTAATGGTCCAATAGCAAAGGTGGAGGGGGGGCTTAGTTTCTGCCTCTCTGGGTTTCTACTTTTCTTTTTAGGGGAAATATTCTGCCTTTTTAGTATTTCCTAGGATATTTCATTTTTCTAGGAGAGGGGTGGGTGCTAACTTCCTGCAGGTTGATTGGTGACGACCTTGGTTAGGTGTTTATCGTTTGTCGTAGTTTAATATATTGGTTTACAGTTCAAACCAGTAAATAGGCTGATTCAGCAACCAAGGTAAACATGTTGCATCAAATAACCCTTCTGTTTTCCATGGTTGGTATTTGATTTTTTAAAAAATCAGAAGAGAGTAGAATAAAAATAGGCCAAGAAAGATACTTTAAACATCAAGCAGCATGAGCCGGTGTTGCTAGCACAGCAGCATCTTTTTGCCTGAAGAGGCCTCACAGACTCAGCAGCTTGTAAAATTTGAAATAAACACTGAAGATTCCCTTGCCCCAGATAGTTAGATTGATCATATTATGCCTTCATTTTGATCTGTTTTTTCCCCTCATACATTCAAAATAAAGGACATGAAATACATGAGCATTGCCCCTGAAAATGCCCTAGATCAACGCAAATGGAGTCGGCTTTGCCAACAACCGGACCCTGCCACAGCGGGGGAATAACGCTAGGGAGGAAGAGGATTCAATATAAGGTTAAAAAGACAGAGGATATTAAGGCTGCAACTTAGCTAAATCATTGTGACAGGCACATAATACCAGCAAATCAATAACTGATTTTGATTTAATGGCATGGAAATAACATTTATCTTGGCTCGATTAACACACACACAACCAGCTATCAATAATTGCCAAAATAATAAGTAAAACCAATCTGAGGGGGCATCTGTGGAGGGAAGGGTTAGAAAAACTGCAGGTAGTGGCCATAATGGAAGCCTTGCTTCTTTTTGATGTTGGTTCTCTATGACGCACATAAACTAGGTGTGTGGGATTCTATTGTGTGATGGTGACTACCAATTTGACTTTTTAGGTCCTGTATTTAATTTCATTTTAATGGATATTTTAAAATGCAATAAAAAAGGAGCAGAAACATAAATAGAAGAGCAACCCAAAAAATGGAAAAGAGATTTACCAACAGTATACATGAATTTAAAAATTCCAAATAATATTAGATTAGCACTGAACATGATTTATATCAAATCAAATATTTATTACTAGCCTAATGACATATCAATTTAGCATTTTAAAGCCATTGTTAAAATCATTTAATAATTAACAAAGAAAACCAGCAAACTAATAATAATTGAGCAAAATTAACAATTAATAGGAGCTACATTAAATTCCATATCAGACTATCTTCTTGATTTTCTGGACCCATCCTATGGATGCTCCTGCATTGTGTATTAGGATGGAAATGTGTGCCAGCAACTACCAAAAGAGTTTTGCCAATGATATAAGCTAAGTGATCCTGTAAACACTTGGAATCAAAGTTCCTCTTGTATATATTCCTGACTCTGGACATGCAAGTTGGCAGCACTATGCCCAGCCTACCAGTTTCTGTAGTATAGTCAGCAATGCCTCTGCTACTGCCAATCCAACAGCAAGGGTTCCCATTCTGCCTTATTGTACTCTATGACTATCATTAAGTGTCTTATCATTAAGATTCTTGATGAATGTGTCTTTTCTTTTATTATACTGAGAGCATTTGCACTAAGACAAATTCCTTGCGTGTCCAATCACACTTGGCCAATAAAGAATTCTATTCTATTCTATTCAAAGTCAGAAAGACTGTTGAAAGCATACAAAGGAAAGGAAGAAGTCATTCACTGTAATTGGGATTGGTCCCTTTGACAAAACTTATACATACAGTAGCCATCTCCAACCATATACATGGCCAACTCCCCAAATGTTCAGCAATGACAAACTCAAGCTAACACACCAAGTCAGGAAAGGCTAGTATAGAGAATCAGGAGCTCCTATATGATTAAAGTCTTATTTAAGGATATAAAAGCATTTCTATGAAGCCAAAAGGCAGGTCCTAGATATGCAGGATTGATAATATCAACCCTTTTTTTTGGGGGGGGGGGGATCTTAATGAATGTACATATTGTGAATGTAAATCTAAAGAAAGTTTAATTAAAGTCCTTCATTAGTGTGGCTTTTCAGTGTCAACCTTCAGAAATATGATAAGGACTAAGAAAGGGCGTATGAATATCCATGAATATATTATGGTGAAGAGGACAAGGAAATCTGTTTTACAAGGTGAACATTCAAGGAAAAGACTTGTGCAGGTCTGTTTATCTCCAATTTTCCAAGAATACATTGGTCAGTCAGCGATGTAGCAGAGAGTTGCCTCTACAAGTGCCAAGGATTAGCACATGACTGAAAAGGTGGCTACCACTCCAGTTTGCTTTCTGGAGATCTTTCCCTGAACAGAGCACCATCAACTCCAGAAGTTCTCTTCTTGAAAGAATTAAAGGCAGAGGTGCTTTTCTTGTCACTTTTGGTGATGAAGTCTGAAATCTGCCATAGTAAAAGAATTATCCAGCAGGACGTTTTAATGTAATGTACAGTGTTTTGTCCAGAAATACTCTGATTACAGGAGAAGGGAGGTGGCAGAAAACTATCAGGAGAAGAGCAGCTGAACTGTGAAAGGTAGGGATATTTTCATTGACTTCTTACTCTGAAGGATTAGAAAGTATGGAAATTAAGAAAGATGTGGTGATGGGTGAAGATGGGTGTTGCTTCTAGAATTCCACTGAAATTTCAGCAAAATCTTCCCACAGGTAATAGATTCAGACCACTGACCTGAACAAAAATTGGATATCCTTGGATATTGGTCTTCAGTTTGTAAAATGTAAAGAGTTAGTGAGACCTGCCTGCCCTAGGAATTATGATGCATATAACAAAGCATGTGCTTTGAGCATTCAGGAGTTAATATAAATAGAAAGGGTGGGTTAAGCAGATGTGGTCTATGTGAGTGTTGGATTTTTTTGTCATCTCGGAACCCCTTGGAAGGTACCTTCTTCAACTTCCACTCCTCATGTTACAACAAAACAGCAATTACAACACCCCAACCTTCTTGACACCCGGGACCAGTTTCATGGAAGACAATTTTTTCACGGACTAAGGGTTTACTTTCACTCACTCACCTACCACTCACCTCCAGCTGTGTGGCCTGGTTTCTAACAGATTATGGACCAGTACATGTTCCATGGCCCAGGACTGAGAACGCCTGCAATAAAATATTGAATAACAATTTTCCTTCTTGATATTTTGTTCTTATTATTTTGAAATTGGTCACACTTATTTTCAATTCAGTTTGTTCCAAGAACTGATTTCAACGCCAGTGCTTCTTGTGTACCAAGGTTTCATAAATAGAAACATTTATGTGTGGGTGGGTGGGGAGAAATCTATAGAGAGCAAATGTAATACAAACAGCTTCCAAATATGATTGTATTTTGGTGCAAAGGACACATACACGATTCACAGAACTGAATTTGGTCATCAACAAAATGTACAAAATTTAAAACATTACCTCCTTCCAGTACCTGATATATCTGTTACGCAAATGTACCTTATTCTTCTCCCATATGCTTTTCTGGACATTTATACTCCCAGATCATTTATATTTTGGGCTGTAATGTAAATATCCTAAATCAATCGTACATTTATCAACAATACAAGAAAAACCTATGCCATTACAGGTAGTCCTCGAATTACAACTGTTCATTTAGTTACAATGGCACTGAAAATAGTGATTTATGACATTTTTCACACTTTGACCATTGCAACAGCCCAATGGTCACATGATTTACATTCAGATGCTTGACAACTGACTCATATTTATGACAGTTGCAGTGTTCAAGAGTCATTTTGCGACCTTCTGACAAACAAAGTCAATGGAGAAGCCAGATTCACTTAACAACCATTGCTAATTTAACAACTGCAGTGATTTGCTTAACATATGTGGCAAGTAAAGTCATAAAATGAGACAAATTCACTTAACAACTGAAATTTTGGGCTCAGTTGTGGTCATAAGGTGAGGACTATTGGTATTTTATCAACTCTATAGCAGAATCTCTCAGAATACTTAGGCATTACTCTTTAGCAACTAGCAGTAGCTGATGAGCCCCCAAAATAATTATTTTAATGTTTCCAAAATGAAGTAGCAAAGGAGGGCAGAAGTTGTTTTGTTACTCTTAATACTATGGAATAGCAGTTACCTGAATGTTACACTTTCAGCTTTCTTCCTCCCAAAACCTGTGACATCCAGAAGTTCTCAAAGTTCCTTAAACTTAGTTTATTACTTTCCTCAGTGTATGTTCCAGGGTACCTTTTTCTTCCTGTGCCTTAAGATTGTATTAATCTCTTTATCCTTCTTTTATTGCCTATTGCAGGAGATAAGAAGGAAGAGCTACTCTTATCTTCTCCTGAGCTGCATCCTACATCTGGTGTCTATTCCTTCTGGCCATTCATCTTCCAGGATTAAGCCAAGGAAAGAAGACGTAAATCAGCCAAATGGCCCGGAAATTGAGCATTGAGCAACTTGAGGACCAGTTGATATGCCCCATTTGCTTAGAGTTCTTCAAAGAGCCCTTGATGCTACAATGTGGACACTCTTACTGCAAGTCCTGTGTAATATCTCTCTCAGATGATCTGGAGAAGCAGTTCCTTTGCCCAGTATGCCGAAAGGCTGTGGACTATAGCAGATCACCACCCAATGTCAACTTGGCTCATATCATTGAGTTAATTCATACCATAGGCAACTCAGAGGATAACGAAAAGTCTTGCCCTGACCACCACAATCCTCTCAGCCTTTTCTGTGAGCAAGACCAGGAAGTGATTTGTGGCCTCTGTGGCACCATTGGCACCCATCAGCAGCATAAAGTCATGCCCATCTCCACTGTCTACAGCAGGATGAAGGCAGGTGCTTGGGATGTGTATGTATGTGTATGACTGCACGGATGAAGTGAGGGCTTAGACCAGGGCTGTCAAACTTGCGGCCCGCGGGCCAGATGTGTCACATGCTGGCCACGGCCACGCCCGGTTTAGCGAAGGGGAAAAAAGTCCCGATATGTCATTTGACGACGCCCTGACAATGCGAGTTTGACACCCCTGGCTAGACCATAGGCAGAACCAAGACGGCTGGCAATTTTGGGAGGGCCACCTTGTGTCTCTTGATTCGTGGATTAGGTAAATCTTGGTGTGATCCAAACAAAGAACTTTTCACATATTTAAGGGAAAGTTCTTTGTAAAATTAACGGAGCACGTGAATTCTAGTGGGGAAAAAACTGGTGTAGCTATTATGAGGCAGAAATCTATACTTTCCCTAACAGAATTTTTGTACCTCTCTCCTCACACCATATATCCCAAGTCCCTCTCTGTGTGGGTAATGTTTTCATAGGCTGGGAAATTATGTAAGTGTAAGGATCATGGGTGATAGTACCATGTGATCAAGGGCAGCAATAGAAAACAATGGATAACACTGTTACAATGAGGGTGATTCACAGAAATACAAAAACTAGGTACAACACTCCCAGTGCCTATGAGTGCCTGATACTGAATGAGATAAGAGATAAAACTTCCTTTCTTTTAAATGTAAGCTATGAAAAAGGAGCCACTGAATCAGATTAAACACTCCCTTGCGGAATTCATTTTCTATAATAAGGCATTATAGTTTCATGGGAGAAAGATTACTTGTGCATATTTGAATATTAAATATACCCCAAATCCTGCATATCCAGTTTGAAGGATCTAATGACCCTAGACTGAGTGAATCTCTGGGGATTTGATGATAGTCATTAATATAGATAACTCAAAATCTTAGTGGAAGGTTACTTCATGTGATCACTTTTTCAAATCTGAATGTCTCCTAATAGCTACCGTAACTGAGTAGTCACATTTCTTTTGGCCTTCCTTGTGAGCTTTAAGAAGTATTTGGCGGTCATCATTGAAAAATATACATTAAAATGGATAAACTTAGTTTTGTTTTCCTTACATCCTTTCCCCACCAGTTTAGCTAATGCAATTCTGCTTTTTCAGGAGGAACTCTCCATGTTGATAACAGATGTACAACAGCAGAAGAAAAGCCTTGATGAACATGTCAGCAAATTGATGAATAACAAAACTCGCATTACGGTGAGCATAGACAGGCAGATCACATTATGCCAGTGACTTTCTTGGCTGCTTTTATTCCATCCAACTTGTACGCATAATTGTGGTGTAATAGTATTATGAGTTGTTGTTTTTTCTTTGTACATTTGTGACTGATTCCCAGATCGGTCTGGACAATTGTCTGGCCAAGTCCTTGCAGTTTTCTTGGGAAGGATTCTCAGTAGTGGCTCGCCATTCCTTTCTTCCTAGGGCGAAGAGAAAGTGGTTGTACAAAGTCACCCAGCTGGCTTTGTGCCCAAGGCAAGGTTAGAATTCATGGCCTCCCAGTTTCTAGTCTGATGCCTTAACCACCATGCCTAACTGGCTCATAACACTATTACAATAAATAAGCACAATGAAGGGAAGGTATGGGTCTTTAGATATATTTTACAATAAATTTTAGTTTTCTAGTGATTATCTGCTATATATTCTTGAGTGTTTGGGGATGAGTAAGGTACCCTTGGCAGTTGTGTTTACTTCAATTAAGAGGGGTGAATCTTGCTAAAGTTTCAAATGCGAAATTACCTGACCTTTTTCAGTTGCTTCATTACTTAGACCAGGGGTCTCCAACCTTGGCAACTTTAAGACCTGGCTGAGGAATTCTGGGAGTTGAAGTCCACAGGTCTTAAAGTTGCCAAGGTTGGAGACCCCTGACTTAGACCACCAGTTCCCAACCTTTCCGGCTCTGCAGACTGGCGCTGCCAGTGATGGTGTAGTGGCAAGGGGATGGTTTCAAGCACATGCACACCACTTGCACAAATGCAGCTTCATGCACTCACTTACCGTTTGCAAGGCCCGGTTCCCGATAAGCCACAGCCTGCTACCTGGCCACAGTTTGGCTGGGAAACCCTGACTTAGACAGTAGCCAATTTGGTATAGCAAAGCTGGCTGAGGAATTCTGGGAGTTGAAGTCCACAAGTCTTAAAAGTTGCCAAGGTTGGAGACCCTTGATATAGTGGATAAAACATCAAGCTAGAACCTGGGAGACTATGAGTTCTAGTTTTGTCTTAAGTATAAAGCCACCTGTGTGACCTTGGCTAGTCATACTTTCTTAGCTTAGGAAGCAGGCAATGGCAAACCACTTATGAAATGTTACCAATAAAATTGTAGAGCTTTGCCCAGGCAATCACCAGCCAACCCCCACTATACTTAACTGCTCATTTTAGATTTTTGACATAAACCACCCCAAATCCCCAAACAAATCATGGTAGAATGACCCTTATGTATATCCAGCACTTTACTAAATTCTGAAAATTATCTTCCTATTCCTAATACTTCCAGGGGAGAAAAACAACCCTAAATCTTTGTGGAATAATATTCAATATGATTCAATACATATTGTCTTTTTTCTTTAGTTCCTACACTCAGCTAAATCTCAGGGCTGAATATACTACAATGGTTTCAAACTAATTAAGTAACAGAAAAAGCCAAAACATTCAGGTGAAAAAAGGAATAATTTAGTTTAGTAAGTTGATCAGCATCTTTGCCAACAGCATTCTAGATAGACTTAAAAGAAAACATCTCCCAGGAAATTAACTCACAATAAAGTCACCCTTGGAATTCTTTTCAAAGAAAAGCATCTGACATTTATTGTCAATATTGATTTTGTAGGATTAGTGGCAGTAGCTAGGTGTTTTTCAGTTCCTAATCTTGCTCTTGAGGACATTATGTCACATCTGAAAAATTCTAAATAAGTGCACTACCAACTACTATAGACATAGAATGCCCAATCAGGTAGTCATGTTACTTGTCACAAAAACTCCCTGGAAATAGCCATCTGAATTATATTACTCAATGGAGAGGATTCCAACAGCAATTCAGTAGAATAAAATAGCTAAATTGCTACATATTACATTTCATCCAACAGGCAATATCTGAAAATGATTAAGTGCCCTCACATAGTCCCAAGAAATTCTGATAAGTAATCTGTATTGAAGTAAAGAAGTCAATATTTAGAAACTCTATATTTAGAAACAGTACTCAAATCTTTTTACATGTTTCTTGTTCCCACCTCTATGAAAGTAACTACTTAGTGATGGTTTCTGTCTCTTTTTTTGCTTATAGTCAGATGCGCTATTGTGTTGCCTTTCACTGATGAATGAGAACGCTTCTAATATAGGTAGTCCTTAACGGACCCCCTCCAAAGTTGGAACGACCCAGTTCCAAAGTTCCAATGGCTGGCCCATTCACAGTCACATGACCTGGTGCTCAGAAAGCAGCCTGCATTTATGGCCATTTGCAGCATCTTGCAGTCACATGACATTTTACTACAGTATGTTTTTCCCAAAAAAACCTGGCATTTGCTTCACGTTTTTGGCAAAAACAGCCCATAGCAAACAATGGGTTCAATTTATGACCATAGCATTCACTTTGTGACTGCAATGCTCAGTTTACAACTGCAGCATTTGCTTAACAATCACTGCAAAAAAATTCATAAAATTGGTTCAACCACATGGGTGATCCATTTTACGATTGTCATGGGCAGGCGACATTATAGTTAAAAGTTGAGAACTACCTGTACATGCAATCTACCTCTTTCATTCTTTTCTATCACTAGTTACTTGTCATTAATTCAATTTGTTTACTGAATTTACTGTTTGTTTACCAACAATATGGCTCCCCCAATAGGAAATCCCAGCATGTTTTATAGGCTTAAAATGAAATTAAGCCCCTCCCCCCAAATTAAAGCCTATATTAAACATGCGAAATGGGGGGGGGGAATGGCGGGGGGGGGTTGCCATTAGGAAGTACTTTTGTTGCATACCTGGATATGGTGCTGCCTGCATTGATCTCGGTGTTGGTGGGGCACTTCGTATCGGGAGACCTTCCACCCCCGTTGCTTTCCCTTCTCCCCATGTTGCCGCAGCATTTAGAGTAACGCTGTGGCGTTTGGAGTAGCTACGCGGCATTTGGTGCAGCCATGCGTGGCCAGCCAGGGCTCCTCCCTGCAACCGGAGCCCGGCGGAGACACTCGGCTTCAGCACTCCTGTCGCCGCCTTCCCGGGCATCGTTCGAAGGCACAGCCCATTCTTTTAAAAACGATGCCCTACTATGACAAAGCCTCCCCTGCCTGAGAGGGCAGCCCAACCCCACGTGGGGAGGTGAATCTCCCGGGGCCGCAGCGCAGGATCGGCCCACCCCAGGAGAAGCGCCCAGCCGCCATCCCTGCCTGGCGCCGGGCAGAGCGTGAAGAGCTTCGCCTGGGGCGCCCAGCGCAGCTGACAGGCGGGCCCTCTTGCCCGGCGGCAGAGCTCTCGCCAAGGCAGCAAGTGCCTCCCTGCTGGGCCCTCCGCTCATCCTGCCAGTGCTGCGCCGGAGCTGGGCGGGCCGCGCCGGAGCTGGGCGGGGCCGGAGCTGGGCGGGCTGGGCAGAGATGGGAAAGCGAGCCGCGGGTGCACGTCTGCCTGCCAAGCGAAAGAGCCGGGCCGACCCGAGGTTGGCTTCCCAGGTCCCTCCAGCCAGAACCCGAAGGGGCCACCGGGAGAGGCTGCCCGAGGCAGTGATAGTGCCCACCCGTCCGCGGACAGGGAGGCGAGGCAATGGCAGCGCTGCTTCCCTGGCCGGCAGGTCCGGCGGAGAGAGCCCGAAGCCACCCGTCCTTTCCACCCCTTGCCCAGCCCGTCCCCGTCCCCATGCATCTCCAAATGCGCCGGCAGCTCCAAACGCTGCAGCGGCACGGGCATCGGGCAGAGGTGCTCACTTGGCGGAGCTCAGCTCGGAGGAGGATGCGGCACAGGCCGTTGCCTTGCCTCCCTGTCCACGGATGGGTGGGTGCTATCCCTGCATCAGGCGGCCTCTCCCGGTGGCCCCTTCGGGGTCGGGCTGGAGGGATTTGGGAAGGAAGCCAAGCTCAGGTCGGCCCAGCTCTTTTGCTTGGCAGGTGGGCGCGCACCCGCGGCTTGCTTTCCCGGCTCTGCCCAGCTCGACCCTGGTGGGAAGAGCGGAGGGCCCAGTGGGAAAGCGCTCGCTGCCTTGGCGAGAGCTCCGCCACCGGGCAGGAGAACCCGCCAATCAGCTGCGCTGGGGGCCCAGGCGAAGCTCTTTGCGCTCTGCCCGGCACCAGGCAGGGATGGCGGATGGGCACTTCTCCTGGGGTGGGCCGATCCTGCGCTGCGGCCCCGGGAGATTCGCCTCCCCACGTGGGGTTGGGCTGCCCTCTCGGGCAGGGGAGGCTTTGTCGTAGTAGGGCGTCGTTTTTAAAAGAATGGGTTTTGCCTTCGAGCGATGCCCGGGAAGACAGCGACAGGAGCGCCTGAAGCTGAGTGTCTCTGCCGGGCTCCAGTTGCAGAGAGGAGGCCTGGCCGGCCCCGCGTGGCTGTGCCAAATGCCGCATGGCTGCTCCAAACGCCGCGGCGTTGCTCTAAACGCCGCGGCAGCATGGGGAGAGGGAAAGCAACGGTGGCGGAAGGTCTCCCGATACAAAGTGCCCCACCAACACCGAGGTCAACATCCAAGCCGTCACCGCCTGCCCGCCCAAGGATGCAAGGGGGAGGAAATTAAGTCACCCCCCAAAAAGACGGCCTAGCCGTTTTTTCAGGGGTCAAAAAAAAATAAGGCCTGGCCTTATTTTGTGAGAAACACGGTATTACTAATTTAATAATAGTTTGTTTAATAAATCACTGTTTGCATAATTCACCAACTGATAAATCTTGTGTTAAAAATAGTAGTTGAGTTCCCAAAATATGCTAGGTCAAAAATTAACCAGCCGCATTATGGTTTATACTGCAATATTTGTACTCAGTAAGAGAGTATTCACTAATAGGAAAATACTAGGTGGTGTTCGCATCCAGACTTTTCTGGCCAACTGTATAGAATAAGATAAGCAGTTTAGGCTGCATGGAAAAAGGAACACAAATTGTTCCTGTAAGGAATTACAAATCCAATCTAGTCCCATAATGCAATTAATCATTGTTGAGGGGAGGAGGAATATTAGACAGGTATGTAAAAGAGGGAAATAATACTATATCAAATTCTTTAGTGCGCAAACTGAACTTATTTCAGGATTAATGTATCTCATGCTGGTGAGACATGAACAACTGACATAAAGATTGTGTCATATTTCTGTCCATTAGTTATCATTACTGATAGCTGCAAAGCAATTGACTCCTGAGATAAGATTGGAGGCAGGAGTGGCTGACAGCATTAGAGATTACATTGAGATGGTCATCAGATTTCTCACATTTTAGTATTAGAATATAAAACTATTATTATAGCAATACCAGTTGCTCTGGTGATGCTTGTGATATTTTGTCCCATGCAGAATGAATCTGATATCTTCAAGGAGGTAGTCCGAAAGCAGTTCCAGGATCTGCATAGGTATATTGATGAAGAGAAGGCCAAATTCCTGGGGCAGATAGAAAGGAAAACAACCGGTATCATTGCCTCTATTGAGGTTCAGGTGAGGCAGAGAGCAGACACTCTTCAGAAGCTAAAGGAGCTGGAGAACTCCCTGGAGAAATTCAACAATGAAGACCAGCTGGATTTCATACAGGTATGGTTGTCTATCTGCTTGCTATAAATAACCAGGGACATGTTAAGATGTGCTGCCAGCAGCAGAAAATCAAAATTGCTCAGGATGCTTACTCAGAAGTAAGAAGCAGACTGAAAGAAGCCTACTGGAAGCTGAGGAACCTAGAGAGATTTAGCAATTTGCACCTATTAACAGTCCAAATTTGCCTCATAGTTTGTTGGCGCATAAAGACCTAGGCATATGGAAGAATAGTGTTGCCTATTAGGAGATTAAATCTTTGGATCATTGAACTACAGTACAGGTAGTCCTCGAATTGTAACAGTTCGTTTAATGACCATTTGGAGTTGTAACGATACTGTAAAAAGTGATTTACGACCATTTTTCATACTTACGTTCATTGCAGCGTCCCCGTGGTCACATGATCAAAATTCAAACTGTGTCCCAAGGTCATGTGATTCCCTTTTGCAACCTGCTGACAAGCAAAGCCAATGGGGAAGTCAGATTCATTTAAAAACTGTGTTACTAACTTAACAACAGCAGTGATTCATTTAACAAATATGACAAGAAATGTGATAAAATGGGGCAAAACTCACTTAACAAATTTTTCACTTAGCAACATAAATTTTGGGCTCACTTGTGGTTGTAAGTCGAGGACTACCTGCACTCTCCCTACAATGAAGGCCCTAGAAGCAGAGCAGCGATGCAGAGTAGGCAAGCTTACATCATACACATCACACAGATTAAGGATAGGATTTCTCATTTTCCTCAGGTTTGGTGGAAAATTTGGAAGGTTTGTTTTTTTATACTTTATGCGAACCCTATTTTAAGTTTTCATATATTTCCTTCTTCAAAATGGCAGAGAACTCTTTGGGCGATTATGGTTAGAGCAGTCAGTTATAGCTGATATTAAAAAAGGTTGTCCACCCTTGATCTAATGGTAGGCATAATTCCAGAGAGTCATGAAAGTTTGAGGTGCTTCTTTACAGCCCACATGTACATGTATGTACATGAAGTGTACATACACCCAACAGGACAGACACAGACTTCAGAGATAATTAGAACTGCAGAAAAAACAATTACTACCAACCTGCCTTCCATCGAGGACCTGTAATCTGCACGAGTCAAGAAGAGGGCTGTGAAAACATTTACAGACCCCTCACATCCCGGACATAAACTGTTTCAACTCCTTCCCTCAAAACGACGCTATAGAGCACTGCACACCAGAACAACTAGACACAAAGAGACTTTTTTCCCCGAACACCATCACTCTGCTAAACAAATAATTCTCTCAACACTGTCCAACTATTTACAAAGTCTGCACTACTATTACTGTTAACCTTCTCATCACTCCTTATCACCCAGCCCTTCCCACTTGTGACTATATGACTGTAACTTTGTTGCTTGTATCCTTACGATCTATATTGATGGTTTCCTAGTATGATTTGATTGCTTATTGTACCCTATGACTCTTATTAAGTGTTGTACCTTATGATTCTTGACTCTTGATGAATGTATTTGCACCAAGACAAATTCCTTGTGTGTCCAATCACACTTGGCCAATAAAGAATTCTATTCTAAATAAGGGCCTGTAATTCTGTTGCAATTAAGGAATGCATACAGTAAGTATACAAGAATTCCAAAGTTTACAGGAGTAAATATGGATTCCAACTGCTCAGATAACTCAATAATCCCATTCATTTTCTCCCATCTTCCTCCCCTCCAGAGTCTTTAGTATATATTTAAATAGCACAAGTGCACTAAATCTGTCTATATCTATCTCTTTACAGAAATATAGATCTCTTCCCACCAGGTATGTAAAATAAAAATGTATGAAAGAGAAACAAAACACTGTCATTCTAAGATGTGTTATAAAAAACATGCCTTTACAGAAAAAGTGTCAAGGAAGAGTTGAGCAGATACATTTTAACTTTTTCAAAATTCTTATTAAGAAGCATGGTAACAGAATTCATTCTTTTATAAAATCAAAATATGTGTACAATATTCCATTTTCTCAGCAAAGAATACTGAGACATGTTTCAGCAATTCCAATGTCCTGAAGCATATTTACTCAAAAAGAAAACTGTGCCATGTTCACCAAAATTTGGTGAGACAGATATGCAATGGATTGCAAGCTCCTGCAAAGTTGATGGCTTGTGAAATTATGAGAATTTGAAGAAGCCCTAATATTAATTTCCAGCCCTAAACTCCTTAATTCCAGAGCATATGGCTTCCAGACAAAGTGATTTTATGAAGTAATCTTTAGGCTTCAAGAATGGAGAAATATTTCCCAGATCTTCTAAACAGGATTCTTGAGATATGTGCTTTCTGTCTTCAAAATTATATATTGTCAGTGAACGTTCTCATACATATATACCTTCTTGTGGAAAGATAAAGTAATTACTTTTATGTTCTGAGTTCTTGCTCAGAATTTTCAGTCCCATCAATTAAGATAGGAATTGAATATTTTAAAAGATGATTTATGAAGTATTTGAGATTAGGGAAAATATTAATGGAAATTAATACATATCCAGGTCTGAACTTCCCTATCAGCACCCAGTTGAAGGCTTATACAGTGCGGTTTCTTTTAAGCCTGACTTCCACCAAGAGGATGTAAAGATGATGGTGTGGAAGCGTCTGCTCCGTAAAATCCTTCCAGGTATGGCTGCTGCTGGAGGAGAGGAAGAGGGGAGGCTGTTTCAGGACCACTTCCACATACAGTACTTAAATGAACTTGTGAATCTGTGTCTTCATCATGCATTACTGCTTTTCAGGTATCAAGAGAAATGGGGTTGAGACTGAAAAGCTAGCAAATGGCAATGAGAGTGCTGACGATTTTGAAAAACTAGCTCTATACCGGTGCTTTGCTACAAAATGTGCCTCTGCCTACCAATATCCATCCGTATTCATCTGGCTTGCTTCCTGTCAGTGTGTGAGAGAGTTAAGGGCTGTTTGGAAACTGAAACACGGAAACTGAAACAGTATTTGCTGTGTAAGCAAGGAGACAGCAAGGAGCCTAGGCATGGCTTAGCTCAACTGTACTGTACTAAAGCTAGTTGCTGCTGTGAAACTAAAACTGAAACTCCTCTGCTTGTGTTTTGCATTTGGAACAGATTTCTTTTCAGGTGGGGAGGGGGAGTAGAACTCCTTAGCATCAAAGCGTGTTAATAATAATATACAAAATACTAATGCTCTGATGGCCATTTCGAAAAATCCTTTCTTAGTGAACACCTAGAAGCCAAGAGAAACATGCATGCCAAATTTCAAGTTTGTAGGCTTTACGGTTCTGGAGATTTTGTGATGATGTGTGAATGGTATTTTGCTTATATATATATAGATTGAATTCTATTCTATTCTATTCTATTCTAATTTTCTATTCTATTCTCTATTCTATTCTATTTTGTTCTATTCTATTCTGTTCATATAAAGGAGGCTTGATCACCTCAGCTGATTTTTCTGAATATTATGCAAAGTTCCTCAAAGAACTTTGATTTTTACCCCTTCTCATAGCTCCAGAAACACTGAAGCTGGACCCAATGAGTGCTCACCCTATGCTTGAGTTGTCCAAGGAGAATACCATGGTGAAATATGGCCAGTTCTTCCAACGGCGAGACAGCAATCCTGACCGCTTTGACTACAGCAATTGTATCCTGGCTAATAAGGGCTTCTCCTGGGGAAAGCATTACTGGGAGATTATTGTGGGCTCCAAGAGTCACTGGCGCCTGGGCATCATCAAGGGCACAGTCAACCGCAAAGGCAAACTGAGTAAGAGTCCAGAAAATGGGGTGTGGCTAATTGGCTTAAAAGAGGGCAAAGTATATGAGGCCTTCAATACCAGCAGACTGGTTTTGCCGATTTCAGTCCGACCCCAACGAATTGGGGTCTATCTGCACTATGAGAAGGGAGAACTAACCTTCTACAATGCTGACAGCCCAGATGAGCTGATACCAATCTATACTTTCCAAGCAGATTTCCAAGGCAAGCTATATCCCATTTTGGACATGTGTTGGCATGAGCGGGGTATTCATAACAACTTACCCATTATAATACCTACTTCCAAAATGCTGCAGACTGAGGATGAGTGCACCAACACTGATGAGCCCACCAAGTTATAATAGGAAGTTTCCATTTGCTACTATTGTGTCAAGTTACTGGGTAAGCTCCAGACTGTCTTTATGGCAGCAATAAATTCAAACCAAATTGAATATAACTCATTCAATGCAAAGAAATTTAGATACCTGCTTCAGGACTCTGTTGTTGTTTTTTAACGCACCTATGTAAGGGCCTCCTGGCTTTAAGGGGTCAAATCAAGACTACATATAAAGCAACAGACCTTTATGCCAAAGCTGTACTCCATGCCAAAGTGTAGAATCTCAATGACATCTATTGTTTAAAGATAGTTAAGTCCAAAAGGATAGTTTAGTCCAAAATTTCAGGAGCTCTGTTGAAATGAACAGTATTGTTTCCATTGTTTTCAGTGGGTTTTTGCAGAATAATTTCCTTGTGATTCATTGTTTGTGGCCTGTGGAGGATTTCCTAGGATTTCATTCTAGGAAATAGTGCTCAGAATCTATTGCTTGGAACAAACACCTCAATTTGCCTCTGGGCTGCTTCTGGGAAGGGCTGCTTCTAGGCTGCTTCTGCTAGGCAACTGATTTCAAAGGCCCACTTTTTCCCTTCTTTCTGCTTTTCAGTCTTCTTTTTTTCCTCCATTGTTACCCATTTTAACAAGTTTTACAAATCTGAAAGGCTAGATATGTTGGATTTTCTAGACAGCACTCATTATTTAAATTAAAAAGCCCTAATTAATATTTCTATTCTAGAGTTTCAAGTAAGACCATAATGAATGCAGTAAGTAAATATTTCACCAAGATTGTAAAAAAAACAAACCTGCAAGCCAATACTTAGCACTATCACTATGCAAATATAACTAAAAGGTTGAGGTATTCATTAATTTCTATCTGTACATATTAATGTGTTAAATTAGTTTACTGTGAAGATTTTTTTTCAATTTTAGCAACTGCTTATTATGTCTCACCTCTTCTCTTTGTTATTTGCTTTTAGTGGTTTAAAAGCCAAAACTTTTAAAAATCTTTTATACTGAATAAAGTGATTTTACAATCTTTTTACTGTAAGAAATATACTTTCATGTTTTGCAATACAAAATTAGAAATTATAGTTTTATTACAAGGTGTTTTAAGGCCCTCTTCTGGGTTTTCTATACTGTGAACACACGTACATTCCCATCTTGCTGCTCCCTTTCAAGGTAAGAAAGTATAGAGCAGGTGTAAGACTATAAACAAAGTAAAAGTATCAGATCCCAAAAAGGATAAGTTTAGCTACATCTACTTTATGCCAACAAATTTTCCCCTTATGCACATTTATTTGAAAATTACACAATTTTCCCCAAATTCATCTCGGAATGTTCCATTACATTTATTATAATGACATGCAACAATTACCAAAAAATCCTGCTTTCAGACATACGCACAGCAACTTTTTTTTGGTGCTTTTGAGTCAGTTTTAGACTCCTGGTGACTGCTTGGACCAGTCTCTAAATTTTCTTGGCAAAGTTTCAAAAGCGGTTTACCACTGCATCCTTTTAGGGCTGGGAGCGTGTAGCTCATGGGTGTCAAACTTGCCACGTCACATTCATTGCCATAATGTATTGTGTTTTACCCTTCTCAGAGCTGGGGTGGGCGTGGCCTCACTTGATGCATCCGGCCTGCGGGCCGTCAGTTTGACACCCCTGCCACTGTAGCTGGTCCACAAGGTCTTGCTAACTTTGCTTTAGGTGGGATTAGAAATCAGTCTCCTGGTTTCTAGCCTGGGATCTTAACTACATACTATACCACACTGACTCTCCACAACAGTCTAAATATCAATTCATGCTTTCTGTCATATCAGTTCTTAGAATATACAATCCATAATAGACTTACAAAGGATCAACAGCTCTATCCGGTCTCAAAGTGCTGCTTTTCAGACAAAATAGTTCTCTAACTCACCTGGCCCACTTTATTTTGTGCTACAAAGCAGAAAAAGAGAAAGAAGCTATATTGATTATGAAGGAGAAAGGCTCAAAATCCATTTGAAACAACGTATTAGCCTCACTGAAGCCAAGAATACAAAACACAACCTTTGGAGTTTGAAAAACCTCTTCAAGGTTATTTTCAAAAGCACAAGAAAGCAAAGACAAGGAAGATGGAATATATGCCATGTGCTAATGCGGAAGTAAATGTGTAAAATGTCAAGAGATAGAGGTGAGTTGGCTGCATTAAAGAGCCATGTTGGCAAAGTGTTTAGAATATACAGTACTGCAGGGCTAACTCAGTACTCCCTCCAGGAGTTTGATTCTGACCTGCGCCAAGTTGACTGATCCTTCCATCCTTCCAAGGTCGAGACAATGAGGACCCAGATTGTTGGAGGCAATATTCTGACTCTGAAAACCACTTAGAGAGGACTGTAAAGCACTATGAAGCGATATATAAGTCTAAGAGTGCTATTGCTATTCACAACCCAGTTAATACAGTTGTGCCATAAACTAAACACGCTAAGCTACAAACAACCAAGTTGTGTTTCACATGTTGCAACTTAGGTGTGTAACTGACCCAGTTAAAAGCGTTTGGCCCCTAATATTTTTATCCTGCTCTTCCCTGAAATTTACAAACAAGATATAATGCCTCAGCTCTTCACTCTTCACATAGTTTCATCTTGCAGTTTTCTACAACAGAATAACAGAGTTGGAAGGGGCCTTGGAGGTCTTCCAGTCCAGCCCCCTGCTTAGGCAGGAAACCCTACACCATTTCGGACAAATGGTTATCCAATCTCTTCTTTAAAACTTCCAGTGTTGGAGCATTGACAACTTCTGGAGGCAAGTTGTTCCACTGATTAATTGTTCTGTCAGGAAATGTCTCCTTAGTTCTAAGTTGCTTCTCTCCTTGATTAGTTCCCACCCATTGCGTCTTGTCCTGCCCTCGGGGTGCTTTGGAGAATAGGCTTGGCTCCCTCTTCTTTGTGGCAGCCCCTTTTCTGCTCGTATTTCAACGCATTAAACCCTCCAGACGTACCTCTGACTGGACTAGGAGACGTTTGCACACGCAAGAAGCCGGGCCTCACAGTTAATTGCCGCAAAGTCCCAGTTTGCAGGATACTACAGCTGCCGCCAATTGAGTCCCCAAAGTAAAAGCAAACGGTCCCACAGCTGCGCTTGTAAGACTTGCGCCGGTGGGTGGCCTGAGACCGCGACTGTTCTGATTGGTGGAGGCCTGCAAAAATTCGGAGGGACGCCTTCCCAATTTACTGTGGCGGTTAAGGCGGGAAAGGGGCAGGCCTCAGGGAGACCCATTGCTCCAGCTGCTTTTTCGGAAAGCCATGGAGATGAGGCGAAATGGCGAGCGATACTGGCAGGATCATGGGAGCAGTCTGCCAGGAGGAGAAGGCACCGGGATGGGATATTCCGGGGTGAGCCGAAGGAAGAGGTTTCGTGGTGTCCTTCGCCCTTCCTTCACGGCTGCCGCCACCCTCGCAGCTCGCGCGTTTCGATGAAGTCGCGAAGGAAGAAGGGCGGCTTATGCCGACCCGTTAGTTCAGCTTTGGCGGGGATGGAGGCCCACTAAAAGTGGTTTGGAAAATGGATAGCTCTCGGGCTTGCTTTGTGTCAGGCTCCCATACCTATCTACAAGTCGCTAGCTGGCCTTGAAGCGGGTTTTTTGTTTGTTTTTGTGGCCCAAATCTGGTAGTTTATCTCAAGTCACATTTTGGGGGTACCTCTAGGATTGAATCCTGGGATCTTCTGATGTTTTGCTGGCCCTTCTTTGCTCTAAATTATTTTATCTATCTCACACCAAATATGTATGGACACATAATGTTGGTTTCTTGGACTGTTCAGACTGCATGGGTTTTCACATATTAAAATGCCTAGAGTTCCCAAATGCTGTAGTGCTAATTCATAACCAAAATTTACAAACCATAGTTAGTGGACTCTTTGCCTCCTAAGCAAAAACTGAACTAATGACATTAAAGCTAATATATGAGTTGACCAATGTTTCTCCTTTCTTCACCCAAATTGAAGTGAATGTGCTTTATAGCAAAATATGTAATCTCTTTCAACTTTTTGGTTATACTTCTTGATAATTTTAAATATGTAGTTTTAAACAGTTTCTCCAAAGGTAAAACATTTAACAAATATTAAGTTCATTTTATTGGTAAATTCATTAAAGGCTAACAGTCATACAAACCTCAAGATAGATTTGGTTTTGGAAGAGATTAATACTACGTTTAGTATATTCTTATGTTCATTCTTCCAAGTCTTACCAGTGGTTGGGTCACCGTATGCAGAATATTACTGGTGACAAAGGAGTGTTGAAAGAAGTAATCCGAGATGGCTCTGGTGAGACAGTCCCTCCTGATTCATCAGTATTAGGTAAAGTAGTTGCTTGATTTGTTGTGGTTTTAGGGTCTATCAAATATTGATATTGTATGGTATCTATTTTTCCTTATTTAATTAAGAGCTGGAGAAGGAAGACTAAAATATCATATTTTAATTAGCAAGTGGATCATGTTTTTAAACTATTTGTACCATATGTTCTGAAAAATTAGGCAAATGATCTTCATTAATTATATTTTTATGCTTCTAAGAGGTTATTATAGCTGCACTGTGCTTTAGATTCAAATGTAAAAAAAATGCCAGAATACTCACATAGCACCTGTGTAACAGTACAGGTAAGCTAATAATATTAAAATATATGTGCCTTTCTAGAGAACATTATAGGGGGATTAATTTATCAAATGTGTTTGAGAAGGTTGACTGCAATGGTATGAGAAGTGATAACAAGTAAAATTGAGGTCTGACTTTCTAGATTTTTAATTCCTCAGCAGGAATGTGGGAAGAAAAGTTTATTGAATTAATGTGTGTATAATAAAGCTAATACCCTTCATTATGGACTATTTTGCTTGAATATGGAATTCAGTTGGTTATTGAATGTGATAACAATATATAAGGCAAGTAAACCATACAGAAACAATAAAAGAATGCTTAGTAAATGATTTCACATTGAGTAGAAAGTAGGCAAAGATATGTTCTTGGTTGTTTACAAATTTGTAGATATATAAGGAA